CAATGATGATGTGCAGACTCAGCAGATTAGAAAGTTCCACTTTCAAAATTTTCACTTTCATTGACTAAGTTAATGCATTTTTAAATCAATATCAAATTCTTAGTAAACAAATATTATTACATTAAAACAGAATTCAATTCTTAATGGATTTTCTTCCTAAAAAATAATATTCCATATTATGGCTATGGAGCACGTATTCTAACTTAATATCAGGGCTCTATTATATTAAGGAATATCAATGTTTTGGAGCTCAAAAATGAGTTCCAGTGAGTTCATTTTATTAAAAACAGTAATGCCATTTGTTTGCATTGCTGTTTTAAAAAGTTAATCAATAAAATAATTATTTAAAATTATTTAATTACAAATAGAAGCTTAAGAATGCCTAAGTGATTCTCAAAAAGATTATACAGCAGTCAGTGAAAATCAGATGAGTGGGCTGATGACTTAGTCAGTTCATCACTCAGCTGAACAAGGCTAGCTGCAATGGAGGCTTTCACTATTATACAGACTTACCCTGATTCATTCTTAGTCATATAATATTCGCTTTATACCCTTAATTAACATATGCCCATAATTAGCCATCATGAAGACAGGCAGCTTAAGCCATGTTACTATTGAAATATAACAAGTTAATAAAGAGAATAAAAAATTATAAGAAGTTGGCAGTTTTGCCCAAGGATGTTCTTCACCAGATACAGGTTGAATGCATCTACTCAAAAATCCTCTTGTAGTCCCGGTCTTGGCAAATGTTATGCTACCCATTCAGTCTTTAGATGCAGAAACCTTTGAATCTTTTTATTCCTTATTCTCTCTCAATTCCCATGACCAGTCAACCAATCAGTCATTTCACCAAGACCTGCAGATACTTCCTCCTTAGAATCTCTTTAGAATCCCTGACCCTCTGCCAATCTTAGTTCAGGTCCTCAGCACTTTCTGCCATCCCTCCCTAATATACAGCTTCCTGGGTCATCCTCCAACAATCTGAAAACATACCACTCCCCTTGCCCTGATTCCAGTTCTTGGAGAACTCCCCAGAGCTTTCAGAGTAAAGCTCAAGTTCACAAGTAAGATTAACCCACAAGGCTCTGAATGATGTGATCACTGCCTAACTGCTCTTCTTCCTCCTCATTTTACTGCATCTTTGTCCCATCTCAAACCTATTCATATTTCAATCAAGACAACAGTGAATGCCTTATAGTACAAGGACATAACCAAACGCTATTTCCTTTACTGGAATCTCTTTCTCCTCCCTTGTCTAGCTAACTTCTATTTATTCTGCAAAGCATAATTCTGAATTTGATATACACTTTGAGGGGTTTCTTTTCATTTTTGTGTCAGTAGGAGAAGTAGGTTTGCCCAAATATAATTCTACTCTTCTCTCTGATCACCCTCAATTCAACAGTTCTTATGAAAAAAACTGGAGAACTGGGCTGGGTGCAGTGGCTCACACCTGTAATCCCAGCACTTTGGGAGGCCAGGGTGGGTGGATTCCTTGAGCTCAAGAGTTTGAAGCCAGCCTAGGCAACATAGTGAAACACTGTCTCTAACAAAAATACCAAAAAAATTAGCTGAGTGTGATGGCACATGCCTATAATGCCAGCTACTCAGGAGTCTGAGGCAGGAGGATCTCATAAGCCTGGGAGGCAGAGGTTGCAGTGAGCTGAGATTGTGCCACTGTACTCCAGCCTAGGTGACAGAGTGAGACTCTGTCTCAAAAAAAGGAAAAGAAAAAGAGGCGGGGGCGGGGAGACAATTAAATGCATCTTGGAAGACAGAACTATGATGCAAAGAATTTGTCAGGGTAAAAGGATGATAAGGCTAGAGGTTAAATTATAGAATCACCTTAAAGAAGGATATGCACTAGAAGAACTGAGTATCCTACTCTAATATAACATAACATGGATTTTTCTTCAGGCCTGTACTAAGCTATGTTTTTATCCATTCTTGATTGCTTGAGTAATTCAACATATGAGTTAACCAAAATTTGTTTTTTTTTTTAAAAAAGTAGATGTTACTATACACACTTTTAGAAAATAATAATACCACAAAATATACAAGAGTCAAACAATAAGAAGCTTATTTTTTATTTGAAAATTCAGAAGTCACTATAAATCTCATAATCACCAGATTGTCGATACTCAGAAAACATGTTAAACAGAATTCCCTGTATGATAGAATGATGCATGGGTACTGTATCTATGGGTTACAAATTTTCTGGGGCAATTCTTCTGTCCTATTTCAAAAAAGAAAATAAAAATCCTTGTTCAGACTATATCTATCTGTCCTTACTTATAGCAACTTTTAATTTATTTCTATTTCAATTCAGGGTACTTAGTTTTGGAGTTTAAGAATTGCAAGTTTAACCCTCTGTTTTCTGGCACTGGCTTGTGGAGGAGAAATACAAGATACTTTTTTTAATCCAACTTTCCAGTTGATTTCAAATTTTGCCTCCTCCACCGGGATTTCTGGGTGGTGGTATACTGATAAATGTGTGACCAGCAATTTGGGTGTGTGGACAATAGAGGAAACCTGATTTACAGTGTTTGCCAATTTTCATGGTATAAATACTCTCACCATCCAATTTCAAACTGCCAGTGGTTTAACAGCCACTTCACAATTGCTAAAGAAAAAAGTGTTCAATGATACTTTTTATCACAGCAAGAACGATTTTATTCAAGACCTTCACTGTAGATAGTAGGGACCACTGCAACAGGGTCTTACAGTGAAGAGGGGAGATGAGGCTTAACTCCGAATATAGCCTGGGCAAATGCGATCAAGATCAGAGCTATTAAATGAAAAATTATTGAGAGGAAACATCAGGGGTAAGGGGGATTCTGGCTAAGCCTACCTAACAAAATGTTTCCTGAAGATAGGCTAGGGTGATCCGGCATTACCTCAGGGATGGTGAAGAAAGAGGAATTTGATCAGACATGTGGGGTGGTAGATTGTTGCTAAACTAGCTTAGCAGGGCTCTTTGCCAAGACTGGATTTTACAAGGGAAATACACAAATAGGCCTAGGAGAAGCTTCAGAAGCCTGACTAAAGTGTGGCCAAGCAAATAATCTTTGTCACAATATTGTTGTATATTTAACAATCAATTCTTGAGAGTGGGCTCATGCCAGCTCCACCATCCTACTGTTTCCAGGAGACACTGGTCCACAGAGGCCTCCCGATTATCTAAGTTCTTGATACACTCCTGGCCTGCACCTGTCCCACAGCCATTCCCACCCCACACCTAACAATGATTGCCTTATACTCTGACAGTGTTGAAACTCATCTGATCCCTGTGGTCCTGGAAAACAGCAAAGATTCAGAATATTCCCCTCTTTATATTCTCTGAAACCTCTACCCTTTCGTGTTTCCAAAATAGCTAACTGCAAAGGACACCCCTGCCCTGCGACATCCTGAATATTCCAAGATAAAACCCTTTCTTATGATGCTTTCATTTATCTGCCTTTACAAAACCCTGGGTTTTCCTTTCTTTTCTCTGAGACATTGCTTATTAATGAACATTCTTCCTATTTCAATAGCCTCAATTAAAACATCTCCTTAATTTTATGGTGCATTTTCTTTCACCACTCTCTGTTGTCAGTTCACTGTTACCCTGAACCCTACATGGATTCAGTCAACCACCTGTCTCTTGGTTTGCCCCTTAAAAGCAGGAAAACACAGCCTCTCCACACCAGCCCCAGTTGTGCTTTGATGCCACACCCCCAGCTGTGGTACTCATTGTTGATTCTGTTGAAAGGGAGATCTCTGGGTGAGAGAGCATGAGCAGCTCAGGGCCTGAACTGAAATCCATGAACGCAAGCCTTCTTGTCCATGTACTGGGATCTCTCCCTCACTTGGGTACAGTTCCATTGCCCTGTAATCATGGTGGTAGCTGTGGGGCGTGGTATAAATGAAGACCTGCCAACTTTCTCCTCACCTAACATCCTCCTTCAGCCATGAACATACACGCTTAGCCCCTGAGGGAACATCTGAGCTTGCTGCAGCTGGTCAGCCTGGCATCAGCTCTGCCCCAGAGCAGCCCCTCCACTGCCCTACCCAAGCCTTTTACTCCTTGAGATCAGCAAGAGCTCTGGCCCCCTTCCATGGACATTGCTTCAGGCCTAAGCTCCTTTCCAGAGTCTCTGGAGGACCCCAAAGAAGACTCAAAGCTGCCTCACTCTCGGGCCATGCTCTGGAGGAGGCACATTCTCCCGTCCCTGGCCAAGGGCACATCCACAGCACCACTGGGCTCCCTGACTGGGCTTTTGAGCCGGAAGAATTTGATTCTTGACTCTGTGCTTTGAAGCTGTGTGATTTTTGCTAAATCGTTTACTTTCTCTCAGGTTTTTTTCTATTAGAAAATTGCTTTAAGATAACAACAACAACAATAACATTTCATGAGGTGACCACAAGGATTAAAGTAAATTTCAAAATGCTTTCTAAATGATAAAGTCCTATACGTTTTAGCTGCTCCTGTTGCTAGTGAACCAAAATAGGAGACAGCTTTAGAAGACCTTCCTGAGGAGTCAGATCACTGTTTTCATACATTAAAAATATTTATTGAGCACTGACTTTGTATCAGGGGCATGTGAGGTCAATGTCCTCAGGGAGTTTACGGTCTGTGACAGAAGATAGCACATTGCCAGGCGATTATAGCAGAGCCCTTGCCTCTCAGCTGTGGACCTTGCCTGCAGCCTGGGAATCTCATGGGAGCTTGTTAGAAGTGCAGGCAGGAACATACCAAATGGGAACCTGCATTTCAGCAACATCCTCGGAGATTTGTTTGCTGCTATTGAGAGTGGCAGAGAAAACACTGTGTGCAGCGGGTGGCTCCTAATTTGTTTGCAGGGTCTCAAGGCAAGCTGCCAACAGGAAGGGACATCTAAGCAGGGGCCTTAAGACCCACAGCCAGCAGCCTGAATTTCAGCAGGGACAGACTGAGTGTAGTGGGGCTTGCTGTCCACTCTCTGAGTCCTCCCCCTCCCTCTCTTCTTTCCCCATCCACTCACCCCCACTCCAGGCTTGGCATTCTCAGGCACTCCTCACACACCACGGTGAGGAGAAAACCCCTCTGGCCCAGTGAATTCCTTCTTAGAATGGCTTCTACCCCTTGTGGAGAGCAAGCGAGTCTTTTGAAAGGATTTTTCTATAATGTGTCGCTTGGATAGAGGGATGATTGATGACTTGATGAATTGTACATTGAACTCTGACTTTTAGGCACTAAATATAAACTGTGCACATGCTGGAAGAGCTAAATTTAGTGGCGCTGACATAGGCGGGGAGGGAGGGGCTGTAGAGGGCTCTCCTGGGACAGGCTGGAAGCGGCCAGAGTGATGCCCCAGCAGCTGCTGCCGCCCAGGGTTAATTTATGATCCTGTCAGGGGAGGAGGTGCACTGGAAATTTCATCCCAGGCTGATTTGTTTTCAGAGGGGTTTGTTGGGAGTCATTTTTCTGTTTTTCAAAAATATTAAAAACAAATGCAGATAGGGAAGATGTCTGCCTCCATCTGATCCGTTTTCTCCCATTTGGGTTATAGCACCGGGCTGTCCTCCTCAGGCTGGGCTCGGATCTCCTGGTGGTTATTTCTAATTCCGTCCCATGCTGCCCCAGATCTTCTTTGTTTAGTTAGATGAGAAGGCTCTAATTATTGAGATTGAAGGTCATAATGAGAGTGGATCTCTAATGCTGCCAAACTGCAATGCTCCAAAGTGCCCTTTCTGGTTAAAAATCCCGATTGTCTGGTGTACTTTGGGGGAAAGCTACTTAGCGGCTCATCTTTGTTGAGGTTGGGGTGAAGGGAGGAAGAAACAAGACTCCTTCGCCTCTTCCCTGTCTCCCAGCAGTGTGAGAAGAGAGCAGTAGTGCAGCACTCAGGCTGTCCTGGCAGAAAGCAGACAGAGGAGACAGGGTGGCATCATTTCAGAACACAAAGTGGGCCTGCTGGTCCTCCATCCCACACCATCACCCTGGCAGCCACTGTGGATAGGGAAGCCACAAGCAGCATCCATTTGCCATTTCCCCTTCATTATCAAGAAGCTGTGTTTCCCTCCCGGGGTAACATAGAGAAAGCTCATCTACGTTTTGATTGCTGTCTTTGGGTAATGACAACTGGAAATAGGCTCTGAACTCCCTCTACAATCACTTTCCATTAATTAGACTTAATTATGTGGCCCAAGCAAAGAAGAGAGAGCTCCTTGCCAGTCCATGAATAAATCATACTTGATTTACTCCACTGTGTTTTCCCTCACTTCTCCCTGGTTTCCCTAAACTCAAAAGGAATAGAGGAGCTCTGTGGTCAGTTTACCATATCACCCAGTATCTCAAACCAAGAGCCTCTGTGTCTACCCTCTCTCCCTCACCCTTCCTCCTCCCATTGGTGACTGGGAAACTGGCTGATCTGAGCTCCAAAAAAAGGAGAAAAGAGAGCATGTGGCCCACTGATTATTTAAGTGTCTTCATCCGCATGAGTTTGGAGGTAACATTCAAAGTTATTGACACTTAGGGGGCTCGCAGGCCATGCTTTGAGGAACATAGCTGACTCCCTTCTGGAAAGTAAGGACACACTCAGCCTGAGTTCTTGGAGAAAACTTTCCAGGGAGTCCTAATCATGCTCATTCTAGGCATCTCCACTAGCCCATGATTACACCCACAGTGGTTTAAAAAGTCAGAGAGATTTTCTGCTATTTTATGATAGAGACTGAACATGTTAATATGAATATGGCTCAAGGAGTTGTGATGGGCACTCCTGGGAGCCCCAGAAAGAAGTCAGAAGAGAGAGCTACCCTGAACTGTGGCCCAGCAGCTTAGCATCCATCAACCTGCTACCTGGGGTCTGGATCTCCCCACCCCTCTTGGGTTTCCTATTGCAGGCCCTGGAGACTTGTGGCCTGATTTCTCTCTCAAGTCTGCAATGCCACTGGAAGAGGAGTTATTAGGCCATGCAGTCTCTCTGATAAGTCAGTCAGCAAAAAGCAGCCTCTGGCACCAGCCATCACTTCAGTGGCCTCTACAGATATCTCACATCTTAGGGATGGTAGTCTTGAACCTAGGATAGGAATCCAAGGTGTGTGACAAGGTAACAACACAAATGCAGATTCTCCTTATGTTATAGAATCAACTGACAAGTATACTTTTCACAAATTAAACTCCCCTATCTCTAACTCCAAAGGTATTTTCTCTTTGATTTGCCTTGAATTATGAGGCTCTGGGGGCCCTTTCAGTGAGGGGATGAGCACTGGCTAGCAGACTCTCGGGGGTCATCTGATTCCACAGGGTGTGCACCTTTGACTGTTTTCATTCACTAGCTAATGTTACAACCCTGAAGGAATAGAATTTAAGTTTTAGAAAATTGAGAGTAAATTAAATTATTCTTATCTAAAGAAATGCAGGTAGATTGGTAGAATTTGATTGATTTTCATCCTGTAAAACAAGTTAACGCCAAACATTTGACTTTATTGCATTACAAGCCATTAATCAGTTTTCTATCATTTTGGGGTTTTTTTAATTATTATTATAGTTTAAGTTCTAGGGTACATGTGCACAACGTGCAGGTTTGTTACATATATATACATATGCCATGTTGGTGTGCTGCACCCATTAACTCGTCATTTATCTTTTTAGCAAATTCATTTCAGCACTCCTGAGTGTGTGTGTGTGTGTGTGTGTGTGTGTGTTATTCTTCAAATTCTCCTTGAACTCATTTTAGCATCTTACTCATTCCCTAATTAATTAATGGGTTAAGTAAAATTTTTGACATTTATTCACGTTACATTTACACGTGAGTCATGATTTTACCTTTTTGAAAATTGCACTTTAGCATAACTTTCTGACTTAATGTTAACAGTTATAATATCATATTAGTAATCACTCACTATATCAACTTAAGTTTCTATTTTTTTAAAGAAAAGTAGCAAAAAAGAGAAAAATCTGTTCATATTAGACTAAATTATGTGCTACAGAATGTTAGAACAGAAGGTTTTTCTGTGGTTTCCAACTCATGATAAATAAGGGAAGAAGATATTCAGAGATATTCATATGTATTTTCCAGATATTTTTATGTATGTTGTTTAACTTATATCTCAAAGCATCCTTGTGATATAACTGATATTGATTCCATCATTATTAGAAGACACTTACTCTATACCAGCCACTATTTTAAGCTCTCTTCATGTATTGACATACTGCATTATTACAGTAACCTTATGAGATAGGTGCTATTATTATTCTCATATTTGAGATGAAGAAACTGATGCACCAGGAAGTTAAGCAACTTACCCAAGATCATACAGTATTTGGTGGATTCTGGATTCAACCCCAGACAGTTTAACCCCAGAGCCTGTGCTCCTTAACCACTTTTTATTTAATCCCTATTTTACAGATGCAAAAACAGATGGCAAGTGGGGTTACTTGCCCCACATCACAAAGCATGTAAGTGGCAGTGCCAAGATTTACAGCCAGGTCTGTCTGATTTTAAAGGCAAGCTTTCTCTGCTAGATCAAAAAGAGAGTAAATATATTGAAGTTGGACAGAAACTGAGATATATCTTCAGCCTTTACCCTATTGAAAACCCCATCGGATTTAGAGATTAGAAAAAAAAGTAATCCATATACTGTTCCTGCAAAGCAGTAAATCAGCTGGAAAGAAAGAGATGTTAGGTATTTGAACCTATAGAAAACACACACACACACACACACACAGCACTTTGCATCCTTCCTCAAGGTGTTCAGGTACCATGTTCGGCTGGATGCTTTATTTATCTGAGCTCTTGTCCTATTTCTTACCACTATCCTGCAAGCCCGAGAGGGCAGCAACATTCCCTGAAGGACCTAGCCCAGTTCCTTACGCAGAATAAGCTCAAATAAAGATAGTGGGATTGGGGTAGACTGGTGTTACATGGAGGTGGCCACTCAGCTGAGATCCTAAGCATCCTCAAACATGATGACTCCAGCAGAAATATCTGCCCATCACCCCACTGAGACATCAAGGAAAGGTGTTATGTGCTAGGTGCCGGGGTGGGCAGCTGTATGCCATGGTTTAGGAAAGTCCAAAATGGGGAGGAGTCTGGCTGGTATTACAAAGAAGAAAGAATTTGGAGGGGGGGGGGAGCAGCAGGGACGGTGGGGAGGAAGAAGTAGATTGAGCAGACAGAAAAGGAGAAGCCCATAAAGTGAAATTGTTCAGCTAATCAGTTACAGGGGACTGCTGCTTTAATACCGCACCCCTCCACCGCAGCTCCAGGGTCTCCGGCCTTTCCCTCTCCCCTCTGTCTCCCCAGCAACCTCCCACACTTCATACCCCACCCATTGTCACAAACAAGCCCCATTAGGGCAGTTTTCCCCACCATTCCCAGCCCTCCCCTCTGAACAGGGCCAAATTAGGGCTTTATGCCCCAGCGCCACCCCTAGAAGCTCCTAAGCTGCCCCCTTCGCCCCTACTGCAGGCTCTCTGACTGGCTCTGCATTGCAGCCTGCAGTCGCTGCACCTCCATGTGCTGCGAACTCAGCCCAGCTCTCCAAGCTCTGATCTGCACTGCGGTGCCGCCCCCGCATGTCTTCCCATTCTCCACTCTGCGCTACTGCTTACAGCTTACATAAGCCCCGTGCACACATGCAGTGAATTCATCTCTATCATTAAAACCCCTGGCGAGACAGTGAAAGCTGAAATGCTACTAGGTGGTCCTCCCCTCCGGAACTGTCAAATAGTCACGCCCTGAAACGACAAATCCAGCACAACAAATACCCTGTGACAGGTCAGAAAGACAGCCTGATCTAACCATGGACAGCGAACTCTTCTTCCTAAGGAAATAGGGACACTTGAGAAGGAGGCCTGTGAGTCAGTGCTTTGACCTCTCTGCTAGCACAGCGCCTCACCCAACCTGCTGCGACAATCGCCAGCCGGGTAAAGCCGGCCAAAATCATCAAATCTACTTTGCCAAGAGAAATGAAGGACAAACTGGTTTGTGCTGAATCTTCTCAATTACCTCACTTCATAGACTGACCTTGTCAGTAATTGCTTCCCGTCTGGCTTTACTAGAATGTTCTACAGTGACAATATTAAGAATTTTCCCTGGGGCCATGGGCTA